CGCGCTGGCTGCGGCGATGGCGGCGCCCGGCGGGGGGGCGGTGGAAGGGCTTCCCCCCCCAACGCCGCCTCTAGGAGGAGTCACGGCGAGCGGCGCCGCCGTTCGACCAACGCCGCCGTTCCCCGCCGTTGGGGCCCGCACAAACGGCGTTCCGTTTGCTTCGGCGCCGCCCCAGGAAGGGGCTTTTTGTGCCGGCGGGGCGGCGTTTCCTCGCAAAATGACTGAAAATTAAATATCCCTTCGGGCTCTGCTGGTCGCCTCCCAGGGATATGGGCTGCGGGAATGCAGCGTTTCCTAACCCTGGATTTCCGTGGGCCGCCGTTGAAGTCAAATAAAGGCGCCTTTTCTGCTATAGCTGCCTCATTCTGTTGCCTTGGTCCTTCAGGGCCTCTCCTGCTGGGAATTTGGGATGTTATAAACCCCGTGGCAGCCCAGGCTTTCCTCCCRCCTCGGCCATTTGTCTTCCCAAACCCTCCAGGAACTCCAGGCGTTCGCGCCGGGAGCCGGATTTAGACGGAGCCGGCCGCGGATTAACTGGGTGGATTTACAGACCGACGTGTAACGGGATAGCGGGCGTGCGTTTCCTGCTGAAAACAAGGCCCCCCCCCAACGCCGAATTATCCCTGGATTTGGGGGACCGGAGCGGGGCAGTCTCTAAATTCCCCAAAAGGAAAGAAAACTTAAAGCCCCCTTAGAAAAGGAGGGAGAAAAATTGGCATTTTCCCATCTCAAGACACAAATGAAAGCRCCCAGCGAGACCAGCTATCGTGCGTGTGGGCTCTGTAAATAAAAGCGGTTCTAGACAAAATAAGCGTCACGTTTTTGACAACGTTCCCGTTTTCTTACAGATTAACATCAACTGGCTGCTGTGCGATAACCGCACGGACGCRTAGGAGGTCTTTAAAGATAAAACCACATCTATGCCTTCTCCGGGAGACAAATTGCCAGCTCTGTTTGCAAATAATATTTTCCTATTTAAGAATAACACCCTGGTTTCCTTCGGGCACGTTGCTCCACCGCTATAAGGCAAAAAAAATGACTAAAAAGGCCAAGTTTTGGGGCAAGGAGGAAGGCAGAGGTCTTGCCCCCAGAGGATTTTTTAATTGTCATTTAAATTTAATTCTCATTYAAATGTAGCTGTTGGTGGCGGGGTGGCTTGTGTAAGCATCCAGCATTCTTCCAAGAGGGGAGATTTACAAGTTTGGGGGAAAAGCGCCAGTTCCCCGGAGGTTGTGCGGGGACCATCTGCCCGCTGCCTTCCCCAGCGCAAACACAATCTGCCGCGTTGTGGAAATCAGCAGCGTTTCCATTGACGGGGAACTCATGGAGCGCCGGAGCCGGGGAAGGAAGCGGCCTGCGGATGGCACTCTCCCGTTCGGACAGGAGCTGCTCCCGTTGCGGACACGGCGATGAATATTCCATCGCTCCGGCCTCGCCGGTGCTGGGGCTGGCAGGCAGCCGGGGTTGGCTCTGTCAAACACGCCGAGAGCTTCAGCTCGGGACACGGATGATCCCGGAATTTTGTCAGATCAGCCCAAGTGTTGTCGTGTCAGAGGTGGCAACTGAGTTGGGAGGGATTTTGCTTCCCCTTGAGGCATTTTTAACCTCTCCTTCCATTCCCCACAGCGGTTACTGTCTTGCTACGCTGGTATCTTGTGCTAAACGAGCTTTAAACGAGCTTATTTTTTTCATTAAAGTTGCACCTAACTCTTTGGAGAGCGCTGTTACATTAGTATTTCCTCAAATCATCAAGATCATCATTAGGGAGAAAGGAAGAGGGAGCAAAGTGGCAAATAACACATTYATTTTCCAACACCTCCTTGTGGCCTTTGGGGGGCTCTGGGGTATTTTCATTTGGGAATTAGCGGGACTTCATCTCATAGCAAGTGCAGAGAGGTAGCACCTTGTCCCTGCATTGTCTATTTTCCCCTTTTCCTCCTTTATCTATTATTATTATTACTATTTCCTTCCTTTATCTATTTTTCCTCAATATTCACAAACAKTGTCATGCTGGATGGGACCCCTAAGCTCAGATTTTTATTATTTTTTCCCCCCTAGCAGAGGAAAAAAATGCAGAATTTTACTACACTCACAAGGCACCATCCTATGCATCCCACGCCGTCCTTTAATAATTAAAATAATAATAATAAAAAGCAAAACGAACCTCGGAGCCTTAAGGCATCCTGGCAGGGATCCTTCAAGTTCACGGAGCTGCCCTCGGCTGCCAAGGATGCCCGGGTGGAGATGCCCAATTTCCTGATCTCCGGTTACCCGTCTGAGCTCCCGTTGCTTCCTTATCCCTAGGAGAGGCACGGAGCAGGACCGTGTCCTCTAGCCAGCTGCCTGTTTTCCTAGAGGTTGCAATAAAAGCGGGTTGGAGCCTCCTGTCCCGCTGCCAAACGGGCTGCCGGTTGCCAAAGGAGTCGCACGGTTATCAGGGATAACTGGCAGGCAGCAGATGGAGCGCGTTCCTTCGCACATGCATCTAAAACTGCCTAAAAATCATCCAAAATTCACCTCAAATCATCTCAAAATCGCCTAAAAATCATTTAAATTTGCCTAAAAATCATCCGCAGGAATAGGTAGAGCACACAAAATAAAACGGGAATCCCGCCCAAGGCATTGACACCAAGGAGTAAAGGTCCAACACAAGGCGCAGGGAATGCAGCAGGCTCCTCTCGGGGGACAACGCAACAACACCTTGAATAAGGCACCAATAACCTTAAAGAAGGCTTAAATAACCTTAAATAAGGCATCAATAACCTTAAATAAGGCTTAAATAACCTTAAAAAACCTTAAATAAGGTGCCATCTGTTTGGTTGTGACAACCACCTGTCCCAGGACCTCTTGCACATCCTGCTGCTTGCTTTTCCAAAAAGCTGCTCCCAAAACCTGCCGCCAAAACCCTCCCCCTGGAATTGCTCATAGGTTTTTTCCCTCTCATGTTGACGTAGGGAATATGCCATTTAAAACAGAAGGGCAGGGGTCTTGCCTAGCGCTTTTCCTCCAAGCAAAATAAGAAGGAAAGAGCAGCTTAGAAGGAGAAAAAGTGCTATTTTCTCCATCACCCAACTCAGGGATACTTGGTGATTAAATATATGTGATTTCTRGTTTATTTTTTTCAATATTAGGCAAGATTTAAAGGCACTACAATAGAGTAGGAACAGACTTTTCCAGACTGAGCTTTGCTTCCTATTGAGCGAGTTCCAATGGGAACCAGGTTGCAAATTCGGGGCGGGCTACATTGGAATTAATGATTTAGCCTGTGGACACATGGAATAAGCAACTCAGTTGTTRAAACAGGCTAATTTTCATTCATATGGGTGGGAACCATTTACTGGAATCCCTTTGCTCGCATGTGTTAAATGTTTCATCCTTTTGGTGTCTTTCTCCTCTTTAACACACTGAGAAACAATTTGCTTGGAAAACTTCATAGCAGAGAAACACATTTCTTAAGGAAAACAACAACGGCATGAAAATCAAATCCTGGTCAAATCAGTAACTCCTTAGTTATCATTATTTATTATTCAGTGCCTAATCCAACAGTACTTCTACTTTTCTAAAACATATTAAAAATGCTTTACCTGGAATTCAGGATTTCCAGATTAAAACACAGTCCAGTGTTCTCATATAATCAGTTCAGAAAACCAAGAAAATGCTCATTTTGGCAGGAAAAAAAAAGCTGTTTGTGAGATGRGAAAGATTATGAAGAAGAATAATTTTTTGTTCTCTCCGTGCCAGCATTTTTCTTTCTGCAGAATTTCCTCGGAGGCCAAAAAATTCCGAGKAGTGGAACGAAGTCAAAAGAAGCCAAAATATTGTCCAAGAATCAGCACAATAATAATAATATTTACGGCTAAAAGAAAAGAGTATATTAGAGCATTTACATTAGCCAAGGCCAGATAGCATCAAAATATTTAACAAACAGACTGAAAAGTTCGATGTAACAAATGCAAACTTCGTATACAGATTTGTATACGGATTTAAATGCATCAATCAATATTTATACAAGCTGGGGAGAAACAATGCCCCATCCACGGTCACCCACAGCTCCACGCTTTCGCACAGGAATATGAAATATGGGACATTCGGGGCCACCAAAGAAGAAGAAAACACTGAAAACTCTCTTGTAAGGTTCTTGTTTGCTGTTGTGGATATAGCCTCCGTCATAGGGATGCCCAATATCCCTTTTTTTTGGGGGGGAAGAGGCTGGAGGAGGAGACACAACCTCCTGCCTTAACATTCCCAATGTTGAAATCCAAAGTGGAGAGGGACAAGAAGGCAGAGGCGGCGATTTTTTGGCGGAAAGAATGAGGTGAAACACAGGGAGAAGAGCAACTGTTTGCTGGAGAGCAACGTCTTGAAGCGTTGCTGTGGGAAAACTATGGAATTATCACGGCAGGGAATCCCGCATCCCCAGCTGGGGCCAAACTGTGCAACAAAAAGCGTGAAGCCAAGATCCACCCCACCAATGTTGGTGGATCCACAATGTGTCCCCTCGTACCTACAACCAAGGGGTCTCACCTTCTAAAATCTTCATGTAACAGTTAAAAAAGTAATATTTTTCAGCAAAAAACACATTTTTTTTCTTAAAAAAACACCCTATTTTAACCGATTCCAAGCCGGTTTAGCAAAGAAATGACTTTATGTAAGAAGCAAACAAAATGATCACCAAACTACAGAGCTAACCTGGTCGTGCTGTGTAGCAGCTTAGACACTAGCAGCTTCACAATCAACCCCAAAAGCTCTCAGCAAACACAAATTAGCAAAAAAAAAATCAGCAAAATGTTTTGCCCTGATGCTTTCAGCAGATCCGAGGGCTTGACCGCGATGCGGTGCAAGCGGGAAGGACAGCACAGCAGCAAACATGGAAAAATTAATGCACGAGGAAACAAAAAACAATAGGATTTTCTGAAAATACAGAAAAAAAGAAGCCGTTTTGCCCGAGACAAAAACGTAACGTGGTGTCGAAGCGAACGCAGTGACTCTTGCCAGACTCATCACTTATTGAGCGGCCCCCTGGTTTTGGAGGGGACCGTTTGCAATCCTCTGGTCCCCAATATAGCCCTTTTTCAGTTTTGGAGAGACCGCCTTGTCTGGGAGAGGTCACTGGTGCCTGGTCCCCAAGGGTGGCCTGGGTGGGTAGATTTATAAATATATATATACACTTATATAAAAAAATGGTTTGCCCATGGAAAGCACCGGCTTAGTGTTGAAAGAGGGAGAGAAATCAAGAGGAATGTCCTGAGGACATTATGGGTGAGGGGCTTTTTTAACCCTTATTCCAAAAGCCCAGGAGAAAAAAATACATATATATATGTATCTTCCTAAATGAAAACACAAGAAAACAGAAAATGGCAAACAAATTGCCTCCCAAAATATTGTCAATAACAAGAAAAGTTTAAGTAACGTTATCAAACTATATAGATAATTTGTTAGAAAAAAAAAGGAAGAAAAAATAGCACTCCTACCGCCTGCAGTTCTGGTCAGGTTCTCCCCTCATCCCCCCACAAAAAAAAGAGTAAAAATGAACATAAAAATTACAAGTAAAACAAATTAACCCTTTCATCAGCCTGGTTCTTAACTGACACGATTTCTTCCCCTGCTCCTGTGTTTATTCAGTAAAGCCTTTAGATTTGTGCTGCATTAACTTGTCTCCTGCTCCTTTTGCTCCTTAAATGGGGAGTTTTCTGAGGCAGTGAAGAGATGGGTGCTGGATCTAGGGCTCCTTACGATAAGGTCAGGAGCCCTCTTGCCGAACTGAAAATAAAAAGGGAATTTGAACGAAGACTATTGCATTTCTGGGGTATTTGAATAAAGATTTTTGCGTTTCTGAGGCTTGTTTGGATTTAAGAGATTCAAGTGAACTCTTTCTCTCCGAGCCTTAACATGTGATTTAGAGCATATGATTTAGATAATGATTTAATATTATCATAATAAACGTAATTTTAATCAAAATCTAGATAATACCCCACTCATGAACTGCAATAAGAAGGACCCTGCCTCACCGAAGTGCTTTAACACGCAGCTAGGCACATTAAGGCCAATGGGAATCATATACCTAAGGTTAAATACATCCTTTCAGTGCATATGTTAAAAACACGTAGCAGGGGGAATTTAGACACTTGCGATCCTTATTTTCCACCAGGAGCTATGTCTCTTAAAAGGTGCCCACGAAAATAAAGGTCCTTAACGGGTCAGCAAAATAGTCCTGGAAGGCTCCAGGCAAGATACCTACAGCTTGTGTGATGGAGACCCAAGCAGACTACAGGAAGCTCCAAAGAATTGCTCAATAAAACCACTTTTCTTCCATACTCCTCCTTGTTTTCTCTCAAGAGAGAGAAATTATGACTTGAAAATTCAGTATACATTTCCCTTTTTTTGGGAAAAAACCAACAATCATTCAGTTATAACTTCCCAGGAGAAGAAAAAGTTAGTGATGAAAGGTTTAAAGATGGAATCATCAAAGGTACAGGTGGAAGTTTGCCATCCGGCAACCACAAACGGTAGTAAAAACAGAAGATTTTGTCGTGTCCTCGCAGAGCAGCACACAGGGCCGCCCTGACTTTCCACAGGCAATTGCTCGGGAAGAACTTCTTCCTCGGATCCAGGAATTTCTTCCTGGGATGCTCCAAGAAGCACCGCCTGCGGCCTGCGCTCGCGCGTGGAAAACGCGTCACCTCCGTCTCCTCACGCGTCCCGCGGCGACGAAACGAGGCTCCAACGGCCCAAGAGAAGGGAACACGCGGCGCCCTTCCCGAGCGGGGCCTCGGGGAGAAGGCCGGGAGCAAAGCGGACGCGCCGGCATCGAGCGCCGGGCCGCGCGGACAAGGGCTGGTGCTCGCAGCGGGGAGCTCCGGAGGCCTCTCCGGCGGGTCTTGGCCAAGGGGCTTCTCCTCCTTGCGGCCGGCTCCGGTGTCCCTCGTGCTCAGCTCACTTCTTGGCTATCAGCCAGGGCGTTTGACCCTTGGAAGGGGGCAAACAAACGCGTGAAGGCAGCGACGCTGAGTGCCGCGCGAGGCAGGGACGGGCCAAGCCAAGTTGCCGCGCTGCAGGGCGCCGCGTGCCCTGCTGCGACCACGGGGACCCTCCTTGAGACACAAGGCCTCTTAAATCCACCTTCATCTTCCATGGGTTTTGCCATGAGCAGCCTCAGGTTCCTTACCTCTCTCGGGGCCTATCCCACCGGAGATGCTCACAAGTCAACACTCACCCAACCCAACCCAAAGCCTCTAGAGAGGCACCTCATCCTCTAGAGAGGTTATCTGCCTACAGGTAGATAACCTACAGGTATAAGTAGATACCTCTAGATCACCTGTAGATCACCTACAGGTAGATAACCCACAGGTATCTGTAGATACCCATAGGTCACCTGTAGATCACCTACAGGTAGATAACCTACAGGTATCGGTAGATACCTCTAGATCACCTGTAGATCACCTACAGGTAGATAACCCACGGGTATCTACAGATACCTCTAGATCACCTGTAGATCACCTGCAGGTAGATAACCCACAGGTATCTGTAGATACCTCTAGATCACCCGTAGATCACCTGCAGGTAGATAACCCACAGGTATCAGTAGATACCTCTAGTTCACCTGTAGGTCACCTGTAGATCACCTACAGGTGCTGAGCACCCTCCAGCCCCACTTAATACCCAAGGCTGGGCTCGCAGTGGAGTTCAGGTGCCACCATGGCAGATTGTGCACCTGATCCCGGGAGAAATGAGGGGAAATCATCTACCGTGGTGCACTAGAGGACCCGGACTAAGAGCTGCATGCTGGCAATTGCATTTCAAGGTCCCCTGTGCCTCAGAGAAACCCTGCTCTTGCACAAATGCGTCGGCCAAAAAACAGCCCCAAAATAATAAACAGATGCAGAAGGGCTTTGTTTGCATTCGGGTGAAGGCAAGTCCAAGCAAAGGCAATTCCATGCAGTACAGTCACACACAGCAGCTACAAAACAAAGCCAAAGTAACCAGAGACRGCGCAGCTTCCTTCTACAGATCCACCCGGGTTTGAGGACGAAAAAAATAGGCAGGATTTTCAGATGGGAGCAGAGCATCCAACCAACCTGTCTTGCATGCAGTGTGCCACCAGGCCAGAGCAGAAATTCCCTGCCCTTAATACCCTCCCAAAACAATTCTGTCACTAAGATATCTACTTTTTTTTTGTTATTTTTATTTTTTTAATGACTCTTTTGTGTTTCACAGGCCCGTTAATTAAAACACAAGGACTGTGGTATTCATGCTTAAATCAGGGCCATTCCTACTTGCTAGGCTTCACAGCTGCAAAGCTTCATCGCAGGGAGCTGGAGCTCATGTTCCTGAGGTATAATGTTGAATAAAAAGCAAATGGGACCTCCTTAGTGCCCTGGCATTAATGTTCTCCCGGTGCCATCCGAGCGGCGGCACCGCCGGCGCCGCATGCGGAACATCACGAACGGAAAAGTGTCATCCCAGGGACAATGCTGGCAGAGGAAGAGATGGCTGGAAAGCRCCCAGGGACCCATTCGGGTTGAAATTTGGGCTGACCCAGTTTCCTAACTGGGGGCGATCTGGCCCACGAGCAGCCTCTGGAAAGGAGGGGTGCTCACAAGCTTCCACAGCTGGATATCCATAGCAGGATAGCACTCGGCTGCTCCAAATTGCCCCAAAAACAGCTTCTAGTCCTCAAAAATTACTAATGATAGTCCTCAGAAATTACTAATGACCCAGTTTAATAAAAGCGCACGCTATTCTGAGATGGTCTTGCCTGATTCCAGCTTGAAAAGCAAACCCAATGACCTTTAATGTATACAGGACAGTTCCCCTGGGCCCTTTTTTAATGCAATAATTTATTGAGGTCCAATATTCATCGCATGTGCACAAATACCATGTAAATATTACAGCTGTACTGCATGACAGGACAAGCATAACATAGAGCAATGACAAATGAGGGGAGGGTTAACATTTTCTGTACAAAAAAAACCCCAAAATATGCAGCCTCTTGGCAATTTGTAAAAATACGTAACTTCTGGCACTTTGGAGAAGAACACCGTATAAAAATAAATATTCTATGTACAGCAACACACACAGGCCAGTCCAGGGTTAGAACCGTCACTGCAAAAAAGAAAAACGAGAGACCGTAAAGGGGCGTTAGTGACGGTTTCATTAGTGACAACTTGGCTCGGGGGGGACAGCCGCATCATTGTCCGGGTTATTTTACCTTATTCCAGCAGCCGTGAACGGGCAGGCCGTCTTCTCCCTGCAAGAGAGGCGGGTGAACCAGGGCTTTAGGAGGCGGGAGGTGGCGCGGGGCGCTGCAGGGAACCCCCCAAAGCCGCGGCGGGGGGCCCCGGGCGCGATATATTCCGAGTATTCCTGCCCTCTCGGGAATGACGCGAACCTCCGGCTGCGGGAACCCGCGCGGCCGCACTCGCAGGCTGGAAGGGGCGGCAGCTGGAGCCACGGCGGGCTCCCAACGCCGTGGCCGAGCTGAGCAAAGCGGGTCGTCCCCGCGGCGAGGAYGGAGACCGTGGCTCGGGGAGAAGCCCAGGCGGCCACCGCTGCTCCCTCGGGCCACCGAAGCCGAAATATCCCCCCGGCACCGCAGCCCGAGAYGGGGAAAGGAAGGGGCAAGCAGGAGGGGGGAATTGGGGGCGTGCGGGTGGGCAGCGGCTCAGGCTGCATCTCTCAAAGGTGTTGGGTGTTAGTTTGGGGGCACCGTGCAAGGCCAGCACACGGGTACCGAGGTGGGATGCTCACGGTCTAGCCTAGCTGGAGCCAAATCCGTGCTGACTGCGGGTACAGCTTGCATGCCAGGATGCTATATGTGTATTTAGATATGTTTATATATAATGCCATCTCTATTTCAGCACATTTTCTGGCAAGTTTCCCTTAAAAAGAGGTCTGCATCTAGCCTAATAGAAAGTAGGGATTAAAGAACCGTAGGCGATYGGTCCGGGGCATTGGTGGAGTCCGTGCTCCTCCAAAAGCAGGGGTTTGCTACAGGTACAACCTGTTCTGTAAAAACCTGCTGTTCATGGGAGGCAAAGCGCATGCGTCAGGGCTGCTAATTTCCTTGGGAACTAGACCAGAGAAGCCCTTCGAGATAAAATACTGCTTTTCTTTTTCTTGGGATGTTTTTGCAGCCCCATGGGGCTTTGGAGGGCAGGACAGCGATGTCTAGCTTAGATGCAACGCTAGCACGATAACCTCCCTTTAATATCCAGTCAAGCTGGATAGGAGGAAATGGTCAACKCCAGGTTCAAGCTTTTTGGATACTGTTTTGCTTGCAGGAGAGGGCCAGGAGTTCCCTAGTGGGACTGGAGGGATGGGAGCATCCATAGAAGCATTCCTCATGGGTTCACTGGTGGTGTAACCATCCTTCTACTGGGTGCCTTTAGAAGGTATGGGGTGCCCGAGGTACCACAGAGGTGCCAGGCTGTGCTTAGCCGCATACAAGCGAGGATAGAGCGAATCCATGGGGATTTTCAGCCCACCACAGAGGTGGCCGCTCATGCATTGGTCTCATGCAAGCTCTGAGGGTGATGGAACAGCCAAAGTGTCCCTAATTACCGCTCATTCCCCCTCCATCCATCCCCACAGCCAAAGCGACGCTGAGCGGGCGTGCGGGAAGGGCCCGTCCCCGAGCACGGCAGTGCCGGGACACCGGGACGGGCACRAGCGGGATGGGGAAGACGCCGAGGGCCAAGGGCAAGCGCGGCATGCGGGATGCAACGGGAAGGTCCGCCATACCAACGGGCACGGGGCATCCAGCCCGTCGAGCCCGGGCAAGCCCGGCTCCCCCTTCTCGCCTTTAAAGCCTCGCAGGCCCTGTGCGTGAAATCAACCACCGTGGTTACTCGGGTTAACGGAGGAAGGAGGCTCCGGCGCCTCCTGGGCTCTCACAGGGCGCCCGGGCCACGGACCCAGAGTAGCGGCTGCTTTGGGAGCATCCGCACGAGCAGCGGGTTCCTTCCCGGTTTCCCTGTCCATTCTCAAGGAAGGGCGGACGCTGCGTTTCTGGATGCCCAACGCACAAATCCACCTGGGATTCGCGGTCGTGCTGCACCTTGCTTTGCAGCACGCTCAAGAGCTTGGACCAAATTCCCATTTGTGTAGCTTTATAGCCAAATCCGGGCAGGAAAACGCCCCGTTCGAGCCGCAGAGACTCGGCTCCCTTCTGGGTCCTGTAGCACCGGTGCCCTGTGTCACTCGGAGCACCCGGGTTTGGTGACACCGCTTGGTGACCCCAGAGACGAGGCGCGACTCGCGRCAAGGCAGGGCCACCCAAAGGACAGAGAGAGCAGAACATACCAACGGGCAGGGTGCATCTAATCCAGGCGCTCCTTGGTCTCCCTTATCCCCTTTAGACCCTCTAGAGCCTTTCTTGCCCCTCTCCCCCTGTAAATAATAGTGCGGGCCAAGAAAAAAAGAGAATATACAAAAGCTTTAGGATCATCCATTTCAAACGCGTGTCAGCGATAGCTTAAGAAAAATACATGATAAACAGTTAGGAAATATCTTTAAAAAAAGAGCAAAACTTGTGTTTGTTCCAGATGCTCTTAAGAAAAAGCCCTGCATGGAGCTACTGGCCTTTGCTTGGCCATAAAAACACTGGTCATTGCTAAAGCCAATGGGCTCTTGGGGTCATGGGCTTCATTAACGCCCAACGGGCAGCCTATAGTCGGGTATTTACCCTGTATCCGTGGGTATCTATACCCAAGCTCGYTGCGTGCCATAGAAGAGCTGAAAGATGCCGAGCATAAAACAGGGAAAGGGGCAGTTGGGCAAGGAGCTGAATTTAGGGTCCTCACGGGGAAGGTTAAAGGAATTAAGGATTCAGGCAGCATAGGTTGCTGTTTCTTCTCTTTTTTTTAAAAAAAAAAATAATATGTTAAACTCAAAAGCTGGCAAGAGAAATGGATGGGAGAAGAGATGAGGAGAAATCACCCCGAGCCAAGCGCTGGAGCACAAAGGATAATCCAGGAAAAGGCGGCGTGGGTTGCTCTGCAGGGAGGAGGAAGGAACCGGGAAGAAAGGCGGAAGAGGAGCAGGGGATAAAGGGAACAAAGGCAGACCTGTAGGAGCAAGGAAGACACACACAAACACACACACGAGAGAAAAAGGCAGGAATTCAAACAAGAGTGAAGGCACCGGCTTTTTTTGACCAKGCTTTTTCAGCTGGGTTGCTGGTTGCTCCCATAGCCACGCCATGGAGCAGCTCCTCGTTTCTGCAGTGGGATAATCGGGATTCCCAAAAGGGCTTCCCAGCCTGCTTTCCAYTGGCTTTTATGGGAGAGCCCTTTGGCTCCCTGGCCCACCTGCAGCCAGCCTGAGACCCTTCTCCTAATGCCAGCACCCAGCTGAAAACCAACTGGAAAAGCCAAGAAACTCAGTTAGGGTTATTGCCTGCTTGGAAGCCACACAAGGAAAGTCAAGCGACACGCGGCTGAATGCACCAAAGAGGAAGTTAAGAAGCAAAGCCAGAAATGGAATGATTAAAAAAGGGGAGAACTTGGCAACTCCCACGACACTRGGACCTTTCTCCCCTAGTTTAAGATGCCCATTGGCTACTGCTTTTCCATCCTGCCCATCTGGGCAGAGTACGATCAGAAATACRTTGCAGGTGGTAAAGGCAGAAAGCTATTCATTATGTGGATATGTATATATATGTATATATATTTTTTTTTTTAAAGAAATCACATAAATTCACCTCATGAAGTCACGGCATGTGCACATGCACCATAAAACTTTACATTTTCAGATAAATTCAGGTGAKACCAGAGTCTTACGAAGAGAAAGTATACGTGCATACGCGCATATCAATACATGCAGATACGTGGGTTACGTTGACATATTTATGCAGTTACAGCCTTAGCAACTATAATCTGAAGCAACCATTTATATTTGCAAATAGAAATTAGGTTCAACGATACGTCTCAACTGCAGTTATCAAAAAGACTCAGAGCTTTAACAAGCAAGAAACTCCTTGCAGGTTGTTGAAAGCCTGATGGAAAAGCGAGGTGCTTAAATACATGCCCAGGTTGTATTTATCTTTTTATAACACAGGTGATAGAACAGCAGCTGTTCCCATGACTGGTTGTCCCCAGGGAACCCAGCTCTCCATCGGTCACATCCATCCAGGACAAAGCCTGAGGAGACTTCTCGTCTGATCCTTTAAGATCTATGAACTTAATTCATCCTGTCCAAATTTCCACCTTCCAAGATCTGGAAGATCATTTGCTAGAGGCAATGTAAGGGCAATTTAAGGGCGAGGTGACGGGATCCACCACCTCCAGCTCGTTTGATTCTCAGGGGAATCCTTGCACGGGTAAGAAGGGTTTCCCAAATCACATCACGTTGGCCTAACTCTACTGTCCGTGAAGTCYCACGTGTCAGTGAGAACAGAGCTACGGCAGCAGCAAACACTAGCAAATCCCTCTGCATCCTTTGGAGAGATGGAGCAGCCTGTCCTAGCTGATGATAGGAACTGCAGGTATCACCTTACGTGTTACAGGCTTGTAAAGTTACTCACGAGAAGGTTTAGCAGACCAAACTACATGCTACTGTCATCAGGTTGCTCAGAAAACAACCGCTTTACCACCGCGTAGAGACATTAGTCACCAAAAAGAGAGGTCACTTTGCTTGGTCACTTACCCGGCTTCCTTTGTCACCGGGTAGACCTTGTAAACCCTGAAACACAGCAGCAGGAGAAGAGTCATTTTTCAAAACACACAGGTCTCACTTTATGCCCAGTCAATAAGAAGAATTTGCTCAGGAGTTTGCTGCTGTGTCCATCAGTATCAATTGCTTTAGGCTATAAAACAAACAACAAAAAACCTTTTCCTGCAATTTTGATTAAAATACGTATCCTGCGAGCCCTGCCCAGCTTCTTTTGATGGCGTGAGGACCGAGATGAACCAAGTTTCACAATGTCAGCTGCATCCATCGCATCCTGAACYGCTACTCAGGAGCTACCCGGACCTTCCTGATGCTCCTCTAGGGAAGCCAAGCTCCTACTTTTGGTTGTAGGAGCTACCTACCCAAGCCACCAGTGCCAGGTTTCAGCAGCCCCTTAGACATGGAAGGAGGAACGTGCTGGAAGCGACAGAAATCCTGAGGGCCCTTGGTACTTACGGGAAGCCCTGCTGGCCCCATTGGTCCTGCARCTCCAGGGTCTCCTTTACTGCCCTGAAATGGAGACAGAAGAGTAGAAATAGTTAAAATCCCACACTGTGTAGGGAGAGAGCACAGCAAGGACCACTGCAGTGTTACAGAAGAAGTGTAAAGACGTCCCTTTCACAGCCCAGGAACAAGATATTTAAGACCTTCATCTGGGCCTCTGCTTTTTTAACGTGCTTAARGAGGGTGAAATTCCAGTTCTTGGAAAGACCTAGGGGCTGTGTGACCTTCAGAGAGGTTGCAGAGCAGTTGCGATGTGTTTTGAAGCTAACTCACCCTTTCCCCTTTTGGTCCTGCTGGTCCCGAAACCCCAATTGGTCCTGGAGTACCCTGAAATGGCATGAAAACCAACACATCAGGCCATTGTCTTTTATTCTGGGACCTCCTTAGAGGCATGAGACAGAGTTGCTCCCCTAGGAAAAGACAAATTGAGCCCAAAATGAGAGAATTTGTGTTACTGGGTGGCAGGCATGCAGGTTGAAAGACTCCGTGCTGCCAAGATGAATGCAGATGTGTACGCAGAGGCAAATGAAGGGGAGCATGGTTCAATCCCAAGTCCCATTCCCTTTTTGCCATTGATGCCACTCCACCAGGCTCTCGGCCATGCTGACATGGAAAAGCAGTCCTTTGGCTGACTCTTTGGCACAAGGGCCATCTCCGTCTGGCATGGCAAACACCCTAGCGGCACCATGACTTGCTTGGGCTTGGGGAAGTGAAGCCAGATCAAGCTCATCCTTAAAGCAGACCACAAATAAAAGCTCAGGAAAGGGTCACTGTGCCTCACGGGCAGATTCAGGCAGATTCAACCATGTGGAGACACTCTGAAACTCCGAGTGTTCTCCATTAGAGAGTGTCTCCCATTGCCTCCCTGCCCACGTGCTGCTCTCAAGTGCTGCCTCCTTACGGGACACAGGTCCTTATGGATTTATGTTGGTCCCTATGGGACACAGATCCTTATGGACCTTACATTGGTCTCTATGGGATGCAGCCCAAGGGCTCTCTTTGCTCACGGGACAGGAAGCACGGATGTTCCTAAGCCCCAGAGGGTTATTCCTGGCGTAGACGAGGCTGCAGCGGGAGAGATAGGACAAAGCTGGGGAGGAGACCACGGTGGGAACGGGGAAGCGGGACTCACCGGCGGTCCGGGTCTGCCGTCCAACCCCGAGGCACCCTGGGCAGACACGGAGGGTTACTCAAAGACAGGAACGGGCCGGGCAGGAGACGGGAGGAGAGAGGAACGGGAGCAGCAAACACACACGCGTGACAAGCGGCCTCCGCGAGCTCCGAGCTTCCCAGGCCTTAGGGATGCGCGGGAGCAGGTCCAGCCCTCCGGCGGCCGCCGGCAGAGGGAGCGGAGGTGGATGTGGACGCGCAAGCCGGGGCGTCTTTTGCTCACGCGGCCCCGAGGAGCCGCTTGCGCTGCCCCCCGTAACACCCAGGCTGCAGGGAGCCGTGGTTTACACGGAAAACTTTTTAATCTGCATTTTCTGCCAGAGAGAAGCAGCTCAACGGAGCGACTAGGGCTGGATGAAAGGTGCCCCGGCCCTCCTATGTGGCTGCTATACTAAACACAAGTGGAAAAACAAAGCAGTGCTRTAAAGAAGGGCACGCAGGTTTCAGCCTACCCAGGCCAGCGGCAAGGACAAAGCCACCCCGTGCACAGGACAGGGCTTTGCCAGCAGCGCTTCCCACRGGGAGAGCAAACGCGGGCGCCGGCATCGCGGCTGGGCGGCGCCGCGGTCCCCATCGCTCCTCATCGCTGGAGKCGAGCTCTCCCGAGACCCCTCCTCGCTGAGCCGGGCTTTGCGGCGGCCTTAGCCCCACGTTCCTGAGCATGCCTGCGCTGCTATTTATAGGGCCATGTCTTTCTGTTGCCTTTGCCTATCAAATGCCCCGCAGCGAGGGATCCTCTTACACRGCTCACAAAGCGCCGCTCGCTTCCTGGGTACTTACGGGTAATCCCAGTGGCCCTCGGTCTCCCTTTTCACCCTGGGCACCCTTCTCTCCTTTCACTCCATCCGTGCCCACTTCCCCCTAAAGGAAGGAAGGAGGGAGGAGAGGATAAGCTCGACGCTTATATAACAAGCCCTGCTCCGTCCCGAGCGCGCCGCCGCGGCACGGAAAACATGACAATATACGCGCTGAAATCGGGGGAAATTATCCCGCCGGGCAGTTTTGCAATGGGGATTCCTTGGAAATGAATGACAAATGTCCCAAAGATTTACGGAAAAGTCACGCTGGGATCTTTCCCAAAAAGAAAGTGGCTCCTTTCAGAGCAGCACCATCCAYTTCAAATGCTGGGCAAAAAATATATTTTCATCTTCCCTTTTTTCCCATAGCATACGTATATATGTTAAAATTCTAGACTGCAAGCTGTAGGGCAATAGAAACAAAATGTTAGGCTTTGATAAAACCAAAACATTTTAGTCAGCCCAAAGTTCTTCCTGAAGGAATCGGCGCAGGACTTCTCCATCGCTAATCCCATCCGTGCGGCACAAAAATTCCACCTGCTTCCTTGGCGCGCGCCCCGAAGGCGAGTGCGTCTTGCACGAGTTCCCCAGACGCCAGTTACAGACAAGCAAGGYAAGGAACTGCATCTGTAATCAGCACCTCGAGAGGAGATCCATTAAGATATAAGTAAGATTTAAGTATCTTGTGCTCATTAGCRCCTAGGTGGTGCCGGCGGGCACGTGCCAAGCCTGGCCAGAGGAGCTACCGTGTTGCTCGTTGCTCAAATGTCCTGCTCATTGCTTTCAGCTCAGCTTTGCTGAGAATGGAGGAGGAAAAACGCAGAACTTCACCAAAATTTCCACCCTTTTTTGCTTTCATCTCTGTGTACTCATATTTACTGCAGACAAAGCATTGGTGCAGGCTAAGCAGTGCACATGGACAGAGATGAGAAAGTTTCTGATCACCAAAAACAGTGAAGTTCCTGAATGGGTTTCCAGTAGGATTTACAGCATTTAAGGCTTGGCCAATTTTAAGGCAGAGCTCAGGGTTTTTGGGGAATGAGTGACAGGCTTTTCCTTCCCTCTGCACAGACCCTATCCAAGGGGCAGCGGTTTGCCAGTGCTCTGGGTCAAAACAGGAGAGAAGGACCATTTCCCTTGATCCTAAAATGAGTGCTGCCAGTCCATTTCTTTCTCTAGAAGAYATTCAGAAGGCTTCTGTTTTCTCACCAACATGGAGAGAAAAATCACCCCTGAGAGCTCAAAAAAAGTTGCTGAAAGGCATGGTAGCATTTGGAATATATCTAATGAAGTATCACTGCTCAACGTCTTACTGCCTTACCTTGGGTCCTGGAAAGCCCTGCAGACCCTGCGTTTGGGATGAGAAATAAGAGAGTGAGTAATGTCTAAGGGCATGCCTTCAACCCCAGGTATCCCTGCTCACCGAGCAATGCACGCGCTCAGCCCAAAGGCCTTTCGCTTTGCGTCAGGGCACTTCACGTTCTGTTCTGCTCCGTTGATGGGGAGCTCTCGCCAAGAACAACCTGGACACGCRCCAGGCCTGCTATTACGACCATTTTTGCACTTGATCCCATTAATCCCATCCATCCCRTCTCTCCACAGCCTTCCCTTTCATCTCAGGCTCTAACGCAACCTTCTCTCTTTACCTCCCCAGACTGTCATAGCTCTGACCTACCCTGAGGTGCAGTTGGGAAATTTGGTACCAAGCCTATTCCTGCTTGGACCCCACAGTGCCTCCAGTGGTGACCACCAGCCAACATCGTCCCCAAACACTTCCCACTGCATCCATCCCAGTGCTTTGCTCCTCAGATGAGTCGCTCAAAACTTACTGGAGGTCCTGGGGGGCCTTGGGGTCCAGGGGGACCTGGTATCTAGAAAGCAATGGGAGAGAAGTCATAGCCTGATGGAAGTCACTGATCTAGACTGATCTTGTGCAATGGAAAAACGAGGGCATCAGGAGCTAAGGATGGTTGGCAACTTGTCACACGTGATGAAGCCTCCTGTGCTCAACGCGGGTCGTGCATCGTAAGAGGGTGGGATGTGGCCCTGCTGCCCAACCATCCCTCTCCAGCCACCAGGACTGCAGGAAGGAAACACAAAGGGCGACCTACCGACTCTCCGGGATGTCCTTTCTCGCCGCGCTGCCCAGCTTCTCCCTTTTCTCCCTGTGCACAACAGACCGTGTCACCTTGAGCCACACTCCAGAGCCTCCCACCATCAGGAGCCCACCACGAGCCATCCATACACCACGGAGCAGCAATTCCCCACAGGAGCGGTGGGAAACCAGTAGCGTTCCCTCTCACTTAGCCATGCAGGTGCTCCGGAGAGCGCCAGGAGCAGGAGCGCAGCTTGCGTGCCCCTTGCTTGCTGTGGTAGACCTGAGCTCATGGGTCAGCCATGCACAGTCGCGGACATCCTGACTCTAAGGCACTCCTAGAAGTCCAAGCCTGCCGAGGCACTCGGCACTTGGAGAAAGATCCAGTGTGTGTTTTGCCCTGCACTGTTTTCTCTTTGCCCCGTGTGAAAGTTCAGCCTTTTCCACTCTTACTGTCAGTCCCGGCAGTCCGGAGGGACCTGGCAGTCCTGATGGTCCTGGCATCCCCTGGTCACCTCGTTCTCCCTTCTCTCCAGAAGGGCCATCAAGACCCTATGGACCGAGACAGATTTGTGTTTCTCACAGGACGGCACCAGGCAAACGTAAGCGACATCGCTGACCAGACGTACTCACCGGTAAGCCGATCTGTCCTGGCTCTCCTCTCTCCCCCTTTTCTCCAACGTGTCCTGGTTCTCCCTTCATCCCGGGCGGTCCGTCCCGTCCTGGCAGTCCGTGAGGGCCAGGGGCACCCGTTTCTCCTGGCTTGCCTCGTGGTCCCTAGGAGATATCCATGGGACAGAGTGAGGATTTTGTGGGGGAGAAGAGGACTAGACCGGCAGAGTCCCTCCTTATCCCCAAAGCCCTTCTCGCTGCCATCCAAGGGATTTATCCTGCCATCCCAGCTGCTCCATACAGGCTAGGGCTTGGCTAAACCTTGAATGCAGAGCAAAAGAGAAGAGCAACTGGGCAAGACCTTGTAAAAGCAGAGACGGGCGCTCTTACTGCAGACACCACCACAGARGGAAGGATAATCCACCGAGACACCTCATCTCACCTTCTCTCCGTCGTGGCCTGGAGGACCCGGCAAACCAATTTCACCCTGAAGCACAAAATCATATTTTGGCACTTTGAAATTCTGGCTGCTTCTGCTTGGCCATGGGACGATGGAGAGGCATTACTGAGATAGTCAGCAACAACTCTTCCTTCCCCTGGGTATTCAAGCAAATACCTTCTGTCCTGGTGGCCCTGGAGGCCCAGCCACACCTGGGAGTCCTGGGGGTCCCTAAAAAGAATAATAATAAAGGGGATTATTTTCACAGTGGTGCCCATGGCATGCGTTATTGTCTTGTTTGAAACCAGCCAGCTCCTTTGAGTGTGAAGGGAACTGCAACACATCACGGTGCCCTCACCTCCCTCCACAGCAAGTGTCCACCCCGGGTCACCAATAGGACCTTTTTTGCAAAGCGTCCTCTCTCCTCACTTTGGTCATCCCCGCTTGCTTTAGCTCACAGCAGTTAAGGCAAATGTTTTTGTAGCACCAAAACGGTCAGGCCATCTGCCTAGGAGGAGCACCCAGCTTCTTGTTTAAAACACAAAGCACTCGGCTAGGCACTTACCATCAGGGCCAAAGTTCGTATTTCCTAAAAAGAATTAAAAATAAATAAATATCAGGAGGTTTTTTTAAGAAAAAGAAAAGAGAGAGAGAGACAACCATTTGAAAACTTAGCTTTTCCCCAAGGCTGGTAATTGGTTGGTTTTCCATTAATAAACACATTCAGACAAGCAAGGAGRCTACAAAACACATCACTGCAGAGCAGCAGAGCACTTTCCATCACTCCTGGTTTCTGACACTCCATGGGACACGGAAAAACCCCATGAAACAGGGCAGGGGCACGTCCTCACCTGCAGAGCTTCGCTGATGTTGCCATCATAGTCCATCATTTCATCCTTCCCAGGCTCTCCTTTGGGGCCCTGCAAAAGATCAAACTCCCAGCGAGGGCTTGGGTTGGCCCCATCTCCGTGACCATCCGCATCCTCCCACCATCCTTAGAGCTCTCCTTGAAGGACCGGAGCTTTTCCAGCCTTTGCAAAGTGTCACCTACCCGTGGGCCCATGGGTCCCCGCTCTCCGGGCACTCCTGGCTCCCCCTGCAATGGTAAGAACATGCCGTTAGCCATGCCTGGTCCTTCACCAGGTGACACCTCAGGAAATGTCCCCCCAGAATGGGAAAGCAGGAAAGGGATCCAGACCCCTCACTTGAGCTGCCCACGGGCGCCATCCTGGCACACGTCTCCCTTCCCTCACCGACCCAAGCGTGCCTCCTGCTCCCAACCCCAGGCTCCGCATGCTTGCCCGAGGAGCAGCTTAGTGCAAAAGCCCATAGGGGCTCCACGGGAACAGAGGAAACTGGGGAGAACAGCCCCTGCTGCCCAAAAGCAGCGGACTCCTTGAAGGAATTCAACGCAACGCAGCACAACCCAACGCAATGCAACCCAACCCAACGCAACCCAACCCAACGCAACCCAACCCAACGCAACCCAAACCAACACGGTGCCCACTCGCGGGGCACCAGGACACCGAGCCCAAACACACAGCGTCCTACCCGCTGCCCCCTCTTCCCCGGCAAACCTGGGGGGCCCATCCTCCCGGGGACTCCAGGCTCTCCCTTGGTTGGGAAGAAGAGAGACAGAGAAGGCGCCTGTTACACAGCAGTAACACAACCCCGAGAGGCTCAAGCGGGAGGCAGCAGCTGTCCCGCCAGCGAGCCAGCTGCCTGCAAAGGGGTATTTTGGCACTCTGCCTGTCGCGGGAGCTCTGTGCTGGGCCAGGGGGTGACCAGAGGCACCACGGGACAGCTCACGCAGGACGTGATGGCAGGAGAGCCCTCACTCTGGCCCGTGGGGCTCGGGTGGGCATGGAAGTGCTCAGAGAGACACAAGGGCAAGACAAGGTCCGGGGGAGTCACCAGCAGGACCTCTCTCTGCCTGGCATCCCTAAGCACCAAGGACCTTTTGGTTGGTGCTTGCAGGGCTTGCTGGGGAGGGAAGGAGCACGAGCCCAACGCAAGCGGAGCGCCAACGCTTTCCTAGGGTACCTTTTCTCCTGGAGTCCCCGGCTCRCCCTGGGGAGGAAAAGAGGGGATGGATCAGCCAGAGCGGCTGGGTCAGCGCGGGTTTGGCTCTCACTGCCCATCTCACTGGTATCTCCAGCCCCTCCAGCAGCTGCTGACCCCCTCAGGCCCCGCTCCCCTGGCCCCAAACACACGGCGGAGGGGAAAGACTGACCTTCATGCCCACAGCAGCCACACCAGCAGCGCCCTAGCAGAGAGGGAGAGACGAGAAGACCTTGTTGGAAACGCGGCAGGCACCAGCACATGCTTTACAAGACACTACCAGCCAGGTGGAGCTACAAAGCAAAAATTCACATCTCTTCCCCCTTAGGAAGCCCGGGAGAAGCCTGGCGAGGCCACGTGGCTCAAGTCCTCCTTTCCCGGGCGGCTGCTTCACCTACGGCAGCGGCTCCGCTTGCCAGAAAGCTCGACCCGGGCGGGAACACCAGATCTCCCCAGGCCAGCCCAACAACTTAGTCTGAGAGCCAAGCCAAGGCGGACAAGCACACGAGCACTGAAGGATGAGGGAATGCAAGGGCACGGACCCAGGGGGGATGCAAAGACACAGAGCGAGGACCAGCCGCCCAGGAGGGCGCTGCGTCCCGGGCACACGGGGCCTCGGTCTCGTCACTCCTCTCCTTCTGCGCTCACCACAGAAGACAAATCTCACAGGCCAGCAGTTGCCAGAGAGCTCAGAAGCCAACCACGACATGGGGGAGRAAATTAGATAGCTAAAAGAAGACACGCAGAGCGACACAACGACATCCAAGCGGTGCAATCCGGGTGCAGGCGGTTCCGCAGGGCAGAGCAAGCCACCAACACGGGGCCCGAGAACGCAGCCTGCCCCTGCTATCCGAGCCTCCCGGAGACAGGTGCTCCCGCGGGGACAGAAGGCAGCGCCGGGGCATCGACCCTCTGCTCCGAGATCTCCCTGAGCGCCCCGGGTTAGTGCCGGCCGGAAGCTGGGAAGGGGTCCAGGAACAAAAGCGCACGTGAGGGACAAGGGGGTTCTAGGGAGAGGGATTGGGCAGGGGTGAAGCGGTGTTAGAAGGTGGGTTGGGGTGTAGTGGAGAGGGGCAGGAGCCAAGTTCGGAGTGAGAAGAGCTTGGAGGAGGTCAAACGGGGAGGAGCGGGGAGCTAGGGAGCAGCGGGATCATACCTCTCAGCTTTCTGAGACAGAAATCGGGGACAAAGCTAAAAAACACAAGGACAGAAGATGGACATCAGGGATTCTATGCGATAAAAGGGGGGGGGAAAAACGCATTCCAGAACGTCGCCGGGGTCAGTAGGTGTTAGTGTGCGCGGGCCAGAGTCGTGGGAGGGATTAAGTGCGGAAGGTGGCTGGGGTTAGGCTGTYGCAGCACATCTGGGGTCCCTGCTCCTCGCTCCTTGGCTTTACAGAGGCAGCCAACACAGCCTAGAATACCAGAAAATACCATCGTCTAACGCACACCCCGCACTGGAGTTTGCCACAAAATCCACCAAACGCCGCAAATGCCAATGCCCCGGAGACGCCGGCGATGGGCCACTCTCACCGGCATAAAGCGCGAGAGCCCGAGGCCACGGGGCAGCCTCGCATGAAGCAGCTCTCCCCGCGACAAATACACTCTGCCTTTTGCAAAATGAGCCTATTTTGCCCTGCTACACTTTTSGTTTTGGAAGCGGAAAGAGCCAAGAGCCATGGAGAGTCATCACCCAACACACAAGCACATAAACCCGGGAGACGCTCGGGCACCGGGGCGGCCGAGAGGAGGGAGCAGGCAGAGAAACGTCGCCCCGGGGCCCGCACGGTACCTTAGCGCCGTGTCTTCCCGGCAGCCCCGGCAGGCCTCTCTCCCCCTGGAAGCGCAGCGGGAAACACGGGAAAAAGAGAGAGCGACAGATGTGACACAAGTCCTCGCAGGTAGGAGATAAGAGYTAAAGAGGCCTCTTTTCTGGCAAGATCTCCTCAGTAACAACACATAGAGGCTACGCGATGCGCTCAAATCTTACATATGACAAGGTCCATCAGGGACAAGGCTGGCAAAGAGAAGGGGTCACAAAATAGCCAAGCGATAGGGCTGGAACAGAACAACCTCCTTAGCCCCCACCACCACATCCCGTGCCGCAATGTTCCCTGAGATGTGGGGTCAGAGCTGCTCAGCCTCCGGGGGCTACGAGACGAGCAAATGTCTTTGGAAAAAAATAATGCAAAACCCCTGGCCTGCCTTGTGGAGCATTGCTGCCCTATTTTTCATTGACAACAAAAATCCAGGCTCTCCGTGGGCAATCTGCTCAGCACCGTTGCTCCGAGCTGTGGGGTTAGGCTTTGCTTGGAAGGCACGTGGAGCGGGAATGCCTGCGTGTCAGATAAAAGGCACTCTATAATCTGCATTATTGACAGTATTTTGCAAAATACCGGCCAGCTTTATAATCTAAAAGGCCTGYGCAAGCTGTCTAATGATCCTGACGGAAGACCAAGAGGCCAATACATGGTGGTCACAAGAGCCAAGAGGGTCTCTACCAAGCGCTGAGCTCCAACGCGGCTGCAGCATCTGGCCTGGGCTTCTCAGAAAGAAGAGGGTAGAATCTCACCCACATAACCGGAGTGTTTGTTTTCAGCTTGATTTTAGTGGTAATTCCAGAGGGTGAATCAAGGCCTGATTAGTCCTCGTACGTGGGCGCAGCCAGAGCAGATGTCTGCTGCCACGGAGCATGGGAACGCGAGCAGGGGTGGAACGTAGGCTTCTTCCAGCCTTTTGGCTCACCGAGATCCGTATCCCAGCTTCGTTTTTCCAGATCAGCTTAACACAAGAGCGTCTAGCTCTTGAGACAGCTACAAGAAATCAGTAGCTCCCCAAACACATTGGTTCTGGGTGCARTTCTGTTTGTATTGACACTGGCGTGAACCAGAAGTAATTCCTTTGAGCCTGATGGAATCACCCTCATGTCAAGTTGGGAATCTTCGGTCTTCACATCCCTACTTCTAAGGGAACGCCATTTTCCCGCGGGAACTCAACTGCACGACAGTCAACTATTAACCCCAAGCCTACATCCCCCGYGAACATGCCTTGAACCTCACTCTAACGCCTCCTGGCTAATCCCTGAAGGAGCCTTTTCAACTCGCAACCCACCCAGATGGGAAAAACACAGCCCGAATGTGCTACCCAGCAGCTAAGTTGCATGCCACATGCTAAATGCTTGGAATACATATGTCACTGTTAATGCCTCTCAAAATATGACAGAGCCGGTCTTGTCCCCTCATGTTGGGAACGCACGGCGTGACTCAATGCGCTCTATCGAGAACGCCTGCCAATGTCGTAATGTCTTAAACACAGCCTACGTTGAGTAATGTGTTTTAAGTGGATGGGTACAGTAAATTTCGAGCAAATAGACAACATCTGGAYGGAGACCGTAGGAGCCTGTAAAAGGGATCCAGAAAGGGAGACGGGCCGGGCCGGTGCCAAACCTCAGCCCGAGCTGCGGATTTGGAGGGGACTGGATGCGTCAACCCGCCAGATTTTATGAGGAAACCCCAGCCCCTGGCAGCCAGTGGCGGGAGGCAACAAATCATCCGCAAGCTTCGGAGAACCGAGGCCGCTTTTATTGCCCCACTTTGGGGCTGGATTCCAGAGCGGGAAGCCCGTCGGAGGCCCCGCTCGGAGCCGCTTCCCCGCRCGGTCTCGAGCCGCGCTCATCACGCCTACCTTGACGCCTGGCTCCCCTTTGTCGCCCTGCCCCGGGAGGAGGAGAGAGGAAACAGAGAGGCACGGTGAGCGTGAGGAGAGATCCAGATGAGCGGAGCGGTGCGAGCAGCAAGGGGGACGGAGCGCGCACGGATCCCGATGCCGATGCGCGCTCCCCCGGCTCCCTTACCTTCCTGCCAGGGTGGCCCTGCGCCCCGGGGTCTCCCTGCGAAGGGAAAGAGGCAAAGGAGAAGGAAACCTTGGCCCCACGTGCGCAAATGCTCATGGCTCTGCCCCGGAGCGGTGCCGGGGGCAAGAGAAGCCTTTTGCCCAGAGCCACCAGCCCACGGGCGACCCGCTCGGCCCCGCGGAGCCTCCCGCTTCCCTCGCCTTCCCTCTGCACCCCGAGGCCGCCCTCACCTTCGCTCCGGGCGGCCCGGGCGAGCCCTGCGGGTAAAACAGACACGGCGGTCAGCGAGCACCCGCAAACGCCGCGTGGACGGGCGCGAGGAGGAGCTCGAGCGCGCGCCCGCCGACGTTCCCCGCACCCGGTACCCACCTCGCCGTCTCTGCCGGGCCTCCCGGCTTCACCCGCTCTGCCCTGGCGCAAAGGAGAGCCGCGTGAGGGAGGCAGCGAGGCGGGAAGCGCCACGGCTCCTTCCCCGCGGCTGCAGGTACTTACAGGGGGGCCGGGCTGTCCTGGGGCGCCCTGGGGTCCGGCGGGCCCTGGYGGGCCGGGGGGTCCCGGCGGGCCTTGTATTCCCGCTTGGCCCTGCTCGCCCTGCGGTGGCGGGAAAGAAGGGGTTAGGGCAGGCAGAGCCCTCAAGCAGCACCCCAGGGTGGCAGTGAGGCTTGGCGAGCACACGGAGAGGTCTCCAAGAGCGGGGCAGAGCGCACGGAGCCAGCACCTCCCGGGCTTCCCCCTTGGACAACGTYCCCTCGGATTCCCAAGGACCAGGGGTGCAGAAGTGATCCAAAAACGGGAGCGAGCGGCACAAGCGCCGCGGCCTCGCGGGGCCGTGAGCGGAGAGGGCAGGCGGCAGCGCCTGCAGCACATGCCAGGGGGTATTTTTAGCCTCCGAGTATTTCTCAGCGCTGCTCAGCGGTGGCCAGTTCGGCCCCCGGATCCGTCCGGCAGGGCCGGGTTACAACTTCCTCACCCTTGGGAATTCCGCGCGGTCCGGGGCAGGGAGCAGGCACCTCAATTGCAGGAARCGTCAAGCTAAACACGAGCCGTGGCCCTGGCAAGCCCAGATCGAGGTGTTTGCMCAAAGACCTTGCACAAAGACCTGCACAAAGACCTCGCACAAAGACGCAACCCAGCGTCCCGCTTAGACACACTTGGCTTAAGCACGCTTGGCTTAAACGCGCTTATCCAGACCCTGCTGCTCAGTTTAGGCACCGGGCTTTGCTGCGTTGTTTCCTAGCCACATTTCTGCCCGCCTGGCTCTGCTGGAGCCTCTTGGAGACCTCTCCAACACGGAGCAAAGAGCAAGGCGCGCAGGGGCGAGCGCGGGCGTGCGGAGCAGAGCTCTACCTGGAACGTGCGTCTCTTAATGACCGGAGGAGGAGCCAGGCGCACGGAATTGAGGAGAGGCAGCAGCTGCGGGAGACGCGGCCGGGCGGTCGCGGCGCCGAGGAGGGCGCCAAGAGCCAGAGAGCAGCCAGGGCGGAGAGGGAGAGAGAGAGAGAGAGAGAGAGAAAAGAGGGGAGCGGAGAGATGGAGGTGAGCATCACCCAACGCACCTTGAGCGTGAGGATGTGGTTGGAGCGCAGGGCCGCGAGCGTGGTGCTCAGGTGCTCCTGGGGGACACGGGGCGTTACGGGGAGCGCGGGGCGGCTTCCCGGGAAGGCGGAGGGCGACGGGAAGCGGATGGATGCCCGTGGGCTCGCCACCCGCGGCGCCGGGGACGGCGGGGCTGCGACGGGAGCCCCGGCCAGCGCCCCCGGCAGCCTCGCGCTTAAATACACACAGCCGAGCTGCTATTCGCATCGCGGCCCCGCTCCGAGCGCCCTTCATCCCGCATTCYGGCCGCTCCGTGGGATGGGCGTCCAGGGCCATTCCGGCGCGCGGTGCCAGCGCGTGTCGGGCACATCCCACCGCATCCCACAGCATCCCGGAGCCAGGATGCGGGCGACTCACCCTGTGCGGGTACTCGGCGCACTGGCCCTGCGAGACATGGGGATGGGGAAGGAAAATTTCACCCACGGATCCAACRCAGCCTGCATGAGCACGCAGCCCCTCTCCCGCTCCAGTTACCTTCTCTCCTTTCTGTCCTGGTGGTCCCTATAAAAACACACACGGGAATTACGGCACGGTAAGGAGCAGGGCGCTTGCAGGGCCAAAGGGAGCGTGGGGAGCGCAAGGGAGCGGRTACTCACTGGGTGTCCCCGGGGGCCGGCGGCGCCCTTGGAGGAAACACAGCGTTAGGAGAGCAAGAGGAATCGCCCCAAGCAAAGCAGCAGGTGCCCAGGGTGAAAATCGTGCTCTGCTTTTATTAGCYAAGCGGCAAGCCGCCGGGCAGGGGGTGGTTCCAGAAAAATAAATAAATTAAATTAAATTAATTAAATAAATTAAATAAATAATCWTTTTTTTCCATCAGGTTTTACTACTTCTCTTGAGGCTGGCCACGGGAAACGTCAGCTCCTGGAGGATATTTAAGGAGCAAAATTGCCAGCTGCGTGGGAATCGCCGGCACCGCTGGGAGCCCTAATGCAAAAATCACAGTGCGCCTCCCACCACTTATTATAGATCCACATAAAAAATACATATATACACACATACATATATGTATATATATTTTTACCGTCTCTCCCTTCTGTCCGGGATGGCCCTGCAAAGGAAGCGGTTGCGCCTCAGCTCAGGACGAGCGTGTTCCGCTTGTCCCCATCCTGCTTGTCCCCATCCCGCTTGTCCCCATCCCACTTATTCCCATGCTCGGGAAGCTGCCTGCTCCGGCTCACTCACCGGTTTGCCGTCCAAGCCGATAGGGCCCTGCGAGGGGAAAGAGAGGAGGGAAACAGGGAGGGGGGAAACGGTGGGAACACCGCACGGATGCAGAGGGGAGGGAAGGGGCGAGGCGGCCCCCGGAGCAACTTCCCACCGGGATTCCTTACCGGAAAGCCGGGAAAGCCTCTCGTGCCGGGCTGCCCCTGGGAGGCGAAATAGAGGGAAAGCATCGGGTTAGGGGGAATATAGCGGGTTTATGTGTTCTTATCCACGGGTGTAGCGGGGGCTCCCTCGGGAAGAGGGGCCCAAAGGCACTTACGGGCGGCCCGCGGGGCCCCATGACGGACATTCCCGCCTCTCCGGGCGCTCCCTGCGGGAAGGCGGGCGGTGAGAAGGGGCAGCAGGGGGGCGAGCGCCGCGCGCTTCCCGTGGGACCCGCTCACCTTCTCTCCGGGTTGCCCCTTGAGTCCCTGGCCCCGCGGCCCCCGTCGAAGCCCCATGCAAGAGGGACAGAGCGGGGGGAGAAAGAGAGAGACAGACGGACACGGGAGTCAGTGGCACCCCCAGCCCGAGGGCGTTCCCGCCGGCGCAGCGGGAGCCAGCGGGAATTCGGGGCTTACCGGCCGTCCCGGGATGCCCATGGCGCCTTTGTCCCCCTGGAGAGCAAGGCAGAAACGGGTGTCATTGGAAAGCAACCGGCCCCGGCCCGAGCGCTCGGGTTTTGGGGAGAAATGGGGGGAAAAACGAGGTCTGCCCGTGGGGAATCGCATCCCGGGTTCCGGCGCGTACACGCGGCCGGGATCCATATTCCCCGCCCCATGGATGTGCTTCCTGGCACCACCAGGGTTTGCCCTGGGTGGATTTGGTGCTGAGGTYGCTCACATTAAACCAATGCGGGCAGCGCGGCACGGGGAGAGAAATGGGGGAAAACAAGGTATTTACCGGGAGCCCTGGCCTTCCCGTGGGGCCCTGCAACAGGAGACACAGAAAAAGCCCGAGTTAGCTCAAAATCGCGGCACAACACGCAACAAATGCAATTAATGCAATTAACAAATGCAATTAATGCAATAAGCCGGCAGCGCAGCGCCTCGGCCGGCTCCGCTAAGCTCCTCTTGGGGATATGCAGGCAGTCGACGGGCCAGGATGCGCCTGGATGCAGCCCCATCCTTGCCAGGCAGTGGGAACGGGGCTCGGGAAGAGCGCCGGGATGCAGCCCCATCCTCGCCGGGCGGTGGGAATGGGCCTTGGGAAGAGCACCACGGATGCGCGGTACTTACAGGCGGGCCTGCAAGAGAGGAAGAGAGAGAAGCCACCGTTGGCATTGACCATGGACACCACTACACCTGCATGACCCAAACCAGGGGTTCACGCTGCAGGGAGACCCCCCTGCTCCCGGTGAAGGGCATTTCCCGACCCCCTGGAAAAGCTGCGCTTTCCAAAAGGCTCTCCGATGTCCTTGCAAGAAACTGCAAACAAGGGGACTTTTTTATTATTATTATTATTATTTCCCTCCCTGTGACGAGGAGGGGACATGGAGATGCCCTGGCCGCTTCCTCGGGTCACCCGCGCCCAGCGCCGCGGTCAACATGTAATCCATCCCGGCGAGGAAATCCAGCCGCTTCCCAGAGGCAGGAGGCGGCTTTCGGGAGATACGGTTACTTCCTGACATTCAGGAGCGCGTTAATTGATAACGGGAGCGGGCAATTAGTTACGAAACGCTGATTAAAGCAGCAGCAGCCCGAGCGTGACCTTAGCCGGGGAGGTTCGGTCGGCGCTACCCCAATTTCGGGGTAAAATAAGATCCCAACCGGAGCGTTTTGGATCCGACACGCTCCATGGGTGACCCTTGGGAGCCCAGACCTCCCGCCTTCTCAAACGGGCGCTGTTTTTGGCCGCATTCCCGGTGCAACGAGAGGCGCTTCCAAGGCTGGCAGAAACGCCGGAGGGCGGCGAGGCCGGCGGAGCCGCCCGTGCCAAAAAAGCGCCCCGGATGCTGAGCCGRTCACCCGAGCCCCGCCGCCCCAACGGAGCCCCCGAGCTGCCCGGCGCCGCCACGCTCGCCGCAGCAGCTGTCGGGGATAAAAGCGGCCCGTGCCGGGGCCGGCACTCGTCCCGGATCATTCCCACACCAGCCCCTGGTATTCCCGCAGGAGCGCCAGAAGGGGGAAGGAGCCGCGGGACAGCATAAATCACAACCGGGCAGGGCGAAGATAAGACCCCTTGGGCTGTGATTTCCTGCTGGAAAACGCAGTCCCCCTCGCTGGGAGCAGCAGAAGGTCCCAGCTCATTTTAGCTGGGAATCATTGAAGGAAAYTCTCTCCTCGTCCACTTCAAACGCGGCCGATGCGTTTTAGTCCCCCACCAAACGGCAGGGCTTTGCTTTCCTATGTCATTTTTGAAATTGCAGGCTGAGCTTAATAATTAAAGGCTCTAAACACTGCTTTCGTGCCCAAGCCTCGCTGCATCGCCCCTCTCCGCCGTTTGCTCCATCTTGCCTTCTTCCTCCCCAAATTCTTGCCGCCGCCTCCTCCTCCTCACCCTGGCACATCCACCACGGGCTGGGTCATCTCCTAGCCAGGACGCTGGGGACGCTTGCCAGGTCCTCGGCCACGTAGGAAGCCAAAAAGCTTTCTCTTATTGCACATATTTCATAAAGATTGCCGGGTTTAAAGGTAGCAAGGGACTCCTATGTAATCTCACAAAAAAAASACAGCAAAACGAATGGAAAAGCAACAAACTGTGCTTTTTTTTTTCCTGGAACAGGCAAAAAAAAATAACTTGGAGGAAAACCAACTAAATTTAGAAGGTGGCTGCCGGCAGCTCTTCCTCCCGGCCCAAAGGAAGGGCCCCGAGGCGGGGAAGAGGGCAGTATTTTTAGAGAAACCTCTCCCAAGGCCACGCTCGGCAGGGGTTTCGGCAGGAAAAAGCGCCCTGCTGCCGCCCTGCCTCCAAAATGGGTGAAAAAAGCGGACAATTCGGCCAATTCAAGACATTGCTGCTGTGTTACGGGCGATGGGAAACGCAGACCTGTGCACAAGTCCTTGTGCATCCAGCTCCCCTCCTGCTGCAGCCAGCTGAGCCCGGGAAAAGAGGGTTAACGGGCCCCGAAAGCTGCTTTTTTTGCTGTTATTTTCCCCCCGTGGCGTTGCTCACCCCCTCGGACGGCGAGGAATCCACGGTGTGGTTTGCAGCAAGCAAACAAACGCGGCCACAGGACGCCCAACGCAAACAAATCCCRGCCTAAAGCGCGGCCCTCGAGGACCCGGCATCCTCCACAAGGGCAAAMCCCCCCCCAAAACATGCACATGGCTTGGGGAACAGAGCTAAATGGCAGGAAATAAGAGGAATCCCGGGGAGGTTTCTTAATTAGGCTGCAATTTTGGCTCCGGGTGCGTGCGCCGGGGAGATGCTCCTCACATCTGCGGAGGCAGCARCCCTGGTGCCTGCCGGTGCCACCAGCTTCAGACATGGATTCGAGGGCAAAAGCAATGGGGAGAGCCCATAGATTTGGGCAAAAACCCCCTTCTCTTCCCCTTTCTTTTTCTTTCCATGTAAAAGTCATGGAAAAGCCATCGGGAGCGTGGGCTGCTGTCCCGTCGGAGGGGAAGCAGGATCCAAGCCGTGCGGGGGCAGAGGAGAAGTCGCCAGCAATATCTTATTTTTTTATTAAAAAAAAAGGATATTGAAAGCTGGAGCGGAGAGCCAGCAACGTGACATATAAGCACCCAGGGACCATGAAAACGGGAGCCGAAGGAGGGAGATGGGGAAGGTCTAATAAAGAGAGGTCCATAAAATGCGGAGGCTGCCGGAGGGGGCTCGACGCGTCCCCGGCTAAGGAAGCACAGATTTCCTTATCACTCGCTAAGAAACACAGCCGTGCACTTTTCCTGAGGATGGGGATGCGGGATGTGCTGGCTGCTGATAAATGGTTATTCCTGGCGAGGAGCAGCGGGGTTGAGAACGAGCATCATCCAGCTGCGGGCGGCTCCATCCCTGCTCCATCCCTGCCTGGCTTCATGGATCATAGCTCTGTCCATCCACAGCTTCCTAGTTGCCATGGGAAGCAGGAAATTTGGTAGAGAGAGGCTGTGGCGRCCTGATATTTGCTGGGGATGGGCAAGATCAATGGGCAGCTCGAGCCCCCGTGAGACCTTCGTGGTTCTCCTGAATCCAAGGTGTCCTTCAGGGATGCCTTGAGCTCAGCAGAGCAGGAGGCCACCTACTTCCTATGGGAAAACCCGCTACGGATTCGAGGGATGAGCGGATCCGTGAGTATCACGCTCCTGATGTCGAGTGCTCGGGTGATTCATCCGTCACACACGTGATATGGGAGGTCACGCTCCAAGGGCCTCCAAAGTCAGCACATCCCGGTTTCCCCCTGCTCCGCACTCATGTTCCAAGCCTCCCTCTCCAAGCTGGCTCAGAAACACCAGGAGGATGTTCATTCCTGTGGTTTTTTGACATTTGTATGTCAAGGCTAGGCAGGAGCTTGGAAACAGAGCGGAGCTACGAGTCGTGCTCCAATCCACAGGACAGGGGTGATATTTAGAAAGAGCTGAACTCGGTTTCCATCTCATCTCTGGAAAAGGATTCCTTAGCGCAGGTTTCATTTGTGCCRTCTTTCTAATTTAGCCTTAATGGCACCTATTGTATGGCTTGAAGGACAAAAACAGCATGCAGCCACCCTAGTCTGTGTCACCCGTGCTGRTACCAGGCAGCTTTTCCTCTTCAGCTGCTCAGTTCGGACACACAGGCTCGAACTCTCCCAAAATTTCGGCAGCTTTGGGTGTGAGGAGCACTTCTTTTCCACAGTCAAATGCGTGGAAGGACAATGAAGAAGGCGGCGTGATTCACCACCGGGTAATGAAACGCCGCTCACAAATGGGTTTTCCATAGCCGTTTGCCACTTATTGTATTGAAAACCACTTCAGAAGATGCCCCTCAAAGAGCCTTTTGATATTACCATGATGAGAAACATAAYGCAATGAAGCAAGCCCATAGCATTTCTGTACGTTGTGCGAGCGGGACCTCAAATGACCACTTCATCCAGGCGCCCTACATCCATCAGCACCTCCAACACGAGGCTGCTCGCGTGCGAGATGCCTCCAACAGTTGCGTAGCACCGAGGAATCCAAATCTCCTCCCCCAGGGGCACGCGAGCAGATGGCAGAAGAGCATTCCTGGCTTGCAGCTCAYGTCACCCAAGCTTAACCATCCCTCTTTGGTGCTGCCTCGAGCCAAACTGCCCAAAACTGTTCCCATTAGCATCTCCCAAGAGATCTTTGCCCATCTCAATGTTGACGCCTAAAGTAAACAGCAAGCTTGCCCTCTGGGCATCTCTTTTCTCTCAGTGACCGCCCAGAATGACCACCTGGGCATCTACCAATTTTCCCCTTGCTTGTCCTACRCAGAATATTAATATTTACATACGTGCCCAGACAGTTATGAGATGCCCACGTTTGCTTCCTATATCTCAAGCACGCCATGGAAAGCCCAACTTGGTGTTGACTGGCCACAGAGCATTGCAGCCTTTCTACAAAAGGTCCCACCAGGTACGTCCACCTCGGATCCCTACCTGCCGGGCAGTTGCATCGCTGGTGCGCGTCTCGGACCTCCCGGTGTCTCGGCACATGGAGCTTCAGCCTCTGCCAAGGGAGAGCACAAGGATTCATTAGCCCTGCCATAAGCAAATACTTGGGAAGGCGGCATGCAGGGGGATGAACRGGATGGGGACGGATGCTTTGGGACATTAGTCCTCAAAGTGCTCAAGCAGGGCTGGCTTGATTGGAAGCAGGCTGCGGGGTTTCGTAACGGCCTCCAAATGTGCTCCTTCGCACGGGCATTACAAAACCTGGAGCCTGCGGCGGCCAACGGAGCATCCCCAACATGGGAACCAGAGCTCGAGCGAGGCCACCGTTGGAACGGGACCTCTGGTCTCATTGGAAACGCGCTCAAAATTGACCCTTGTCCCGTGCGAAACGCATTTGGGGGAGGGCATCCACGCCAGCCCTGATGGGCATTATTAAAATAACAGTGGTTYAGTGAAAAAATGCAAATCAGTCCCAAACGGTTACCCATTAATGCCTGGGAATCGCTCGTGGTTAATGATTTGGGAAGACCCCTCGGCAGAGGCTGCGGAGCTGCGGGGATGCTCCCCGTGAGCAAAGCACCGCCAAGACCAGCTACGTGCCCCGGTTGCCTCTTCCAACCCATTTCGTAGCCGGACGAGCCTTTGCAGAGAAATAGGCTCACGAGAGGCTCAACCTGCTTGTCGCAGAGGACCATTTGCACAGGCTGTGCAATCAACTAGTTTTGTTCAGACAAAAAAATTAAGTCATTCCCCTGATGCTACATCCTCCTGCAAGAACACGTCGGTTGGAAAGAAATGTGTTTTATAGAAAGAAAAAAAAAAAGCTGTTTTTCCTGGGAAGGAGGAAGGCAGCACCTAGGGGAGCCTTCCCTTTTCCATCTTGACACGATCTGTCGTCCCACCGCAAGTCCAAACCCCATGCCTGACTCCAAACAGACGCGAATCGGGGCATTTTTGTTGCGTGGCCAACCAAGATGTTGGGATATTGATTCAGTTGGGAGCCAGGAGATGGGGTCTACGCGAGGACARCCGCCTGTTCCCAGAGCACATTTGATCTGTGCTCTCAGCCAAGAAAGCACAGATATGGGATGGCTTGCGCCTTGGGCCCGGTCCAGCCTCATCGTGGGCCCTCCAGATGGCACGGCGTGCTTCTCTCCAGCTCATGGTCAAACATGGGCACGCGGGCGACAGCAGGTCCCGTCCCCACCTGCGGCCGGGCCAACCGCGGCGCACGGGGGCGAGACGGCCCCATGCCGATCCCCAACGCCAGGAGCTGCCTTGGCTCGGGAGAGCGAAAAGGAAGAGTTTTCCCCCAAAGCYGCCTTTTCCGAGGGAAAGCGGCCAAGAGCGAGCAAAGCAAACCCGTCATTTTGTAGGGCGGRTGACTGCCGCGTGCCTGGCTTGCTCACTGCTAGCGTGGCAACGTTGGGGTGGCTCTGGTGGACGCGGGAATGTGAGCAGGACCTTCTCCTGCATCCCAGGCCCCAAAGCTTCCAAGGGCCCCCGCGTTGTGGGTGGGAACGGGCTTCACCCAAGGGCGAAGACGCCTCCAGTAAACGGTGCGAAACCATTTCCCACCACTAACATCAACCGCAAGAAGAAATACGCCTCCAATAGATGATCTATTAGAGCCCCTAGGAGGGATTCAAGGGCTAGGGGGGTTGTTCATACTGGTGGTTCTGTCTCCAGTTTCACTGTTTTGTCTTTAATGTTGCCAGCAGAGTGGGCCGCTTGAAAGGCTAGTGGATAAGCCGGGCCACGGCTGAGAGGGACGAGGCAGCAGGATGAAACGTGGGTTACCCACCAGGAGATGCAGGAAGAGGAAAAGGAATCCTATGATTTGGGGGCGGAAAGCACTAAGATAAGGGGGGCAGCAGAGGATGCTCGGCGTCAGTCTGTCCTTCCCATCACCCTGTCCCGGAGACCCAGGCAACGGCGCATCATCCGCCGCTGGTCCAAGCTTGGGCGAAAACATGGGTTTTAAGGAAAAAGGGGCTGGGGGAGGAGGAAGGACCTGCACACGCGCGGCGAAGGGCACCGACCTCGTCGAGCAGCTGGTCGACTCTTCCCAGAATAGCGGCGTCGGGGAGCCAGGCGGGCGCCCGCTGCGCCTCCAGGCGCGAGAGCCGCGACTGCAGCTCCGCCGTGCGGAAGCAGAGCAGGAGGCCGAGCGCCAGCGAGAGCAGCGAGGCGCCGGGCAGCCCCGAGCCCAGCAGCAGGGGCAGGCGGCCGCATCGCTCCGCGCCACCGCCGCCGGGCCGCCCGCTTGATGCCGCTGACGGTGCCGCCATCGGAGGTGYCCCATCGGAGGCACCGGCGCCGCCTTCCCAGCTCTTCTCCTCCCGCATGCCCCGAGCGGCAATAAATAGAATAAATAGAATAAATAAGGCCTCAAGCGGGAGGCATGGAGGAGAGCGCGTCCGACGGGATCCCGGCGCCGGCGAGAGGCTGCGATGACCACCAAGTTGGACGGGGGAAGCCCCCTTCAAAATATAGAGATGCGAGGGAAAAAAAAGAAAAAAAAAGGCGGGAGGGGGGGAAATTCCAAGGAAAGAGCAGAGTCCAAGGGGGAATCTCTCCCGTCGCGGCTGCCGGGGCCGCCTTCAGTTCGCGGCCGTCCCCGTGGCGGCGGGGCGGCTGCCGGCGGCTCCGCGCTGCGGGGGCTGCCCGGGGCCGCCCCGTGACATGACCCGCCGCCCCCGCCGGTGTCGCCGCTGTCCCCGCCGCGGTGCCGGTGCCGGTGTCGCCGCTGTCCCCGCCGCGCTCCGCTCTGCCCCGGGCCGCCTTTTGTAGGCGGGCCGCGACGCGGGGCGGCCCCCGGCCCGGCCCCGGCCGCCCCTTCCCTTTGAAGCGCCTCTCGCCCGGGTTATTTATAGCGGCAGGAAAGGGGCCGTGGAAAGAGGAGGCTGCCCCGGGCGCAGCGCCGAAGCCCCCGCGTCGGGGGGTCCCCCCGCAAAGCCAAGGCACCCCCCGTTCAATCCCTACCTCCATCCGCGCTCCGAAGAAACAGCCGGCAAAGCGCTCCCGGCAAAACAAGATCTCCCGCAGCTCTTCTCCCGGTCATTCGCACGCTTAAAACGCGGATTCTGCATGGCGAGAGCRTGCCCGTGTATCCCTTGGCCGGGCTTCCCGCTGGGAATGCAGAGAGGGGGATGCYGAGAGGCTGAGGAGCCCCCCAAAACAGCCTGAGAGCAACCGGTTTGGGGGGTACCCGCAGCGGGTGGTGGGCGGCTCTGAAGCGGAGCGGGTCCCCTGCTCCAYGCGCCACGTGGAGGAGAAAATCCCACGTCGTAGCTCTCGTTTTCCCCTCTTTTCTCCTTGTGTCTCCTGGTAGGAGACGCGGGGGTCCCGCTCGCTCCCTCGGCCAGCGGCCGCCGTCGTCTGCTCTTGTAAATACATTAACTCGAGGCCTTTCGGTGTTTAGCCGCCTCGAGGACAACATCTGGAAACAGATGTTTTCCGAGACGGAGCAGAGGAGGGGATGGAGYGGGGAGGGGAATAAAACAAGAAAAAATAACCCGAAAATTAGGAAAAATAACCCGAAAACGCGGGCGCTTGCAGGGTGGGTGYGCGGGGCAGGCCCCCTCACAGAGCTGCCTGCTGAATTAAGGCACGGAGAAGCCTCTATGCCCCCAGATGGAGGTTTTGGGGTGACAGCAAGTCCCCAAGCCAGGTGACAACGTTGCTGCCCGGGTCTCCTCCTGGCGAGCAGCCTCGCGTGAAGCTCAGCCCCTTTCCCTTGCAGGAAGGAGCTTCTCCTCAGCCCCGAGCGTGGCGTTTTGCGACCAAGACGGCGGTGGGAAGGCTGCTTCTTGGCTCGTCCTTCAGCTCCAGCTTTTCCAAGGTCGCGCTCCCCGTGCACGTTGGCTTCCCCGCGTCCCCTCCTCTCGCTCGGGGACCGCCAAGTCCCCGGGTGGGATGCTCTACATTATACAACCACCCCGGGGGTCTCAGGAGGGGACCGCAACGCCCAGCCAGATCCAAGTTGTCCTTGAAGGCAGTCCCGGGCCGGCCCGTCACCACTCGCCTTCGCGGCGAGGCCGAAGGCCGCCACGGAGGCTCTCCTCACCCTACCTCACTCCGAGCCACCGGGGACCACAGCAATCAAGTTGYAGACATGGCCTAGACTCTCCCCCGCTCCATGTGTTTTCACTTCAGCCGTAGAGCAGAAATATTTCCTGGCATCTGTCTTCAATCGAGGGCAGGGAGGTCGGGGGAGAGGAGACATCCACGGAAGGGACATGTTCTCGGAGCCCTTTGGGGGAGAATAAGAGAAAGAAAGAGGAAAGGAGGGCAGGAAGGACCAGCAGAGGTGGCATTGCTCAAGTGTGCATTTTAGTGGTGTGAAGAACGGCCACTCCACAGGCTGCGTGGAAAAGGGCTCCGAGGACCACACCACGCATCTCCATGTCTTCCAGAACCACAGGGTGACCATCGTGCACCTTCCCAACCGGGCCTGGGCAAAGACTGCCCAGATTTTGCAAGAACATCCCAACCCATGGCCAGACACCTCTGGGATGCCCCATTTCAAAGAACAGAAGCGACGRATGAGAAGAGAGCAACCCGCCAGACCTTCAGCCCACTCAACYCGTGCCCATGGGGTTGCCACGAGAYGGCCAACACCGACACTGCGCGGACTGAGGGAGYCCCAAGGCTTACAGGAGGGTTCATGGAGCAGTTTTGAGCACTTGCCCTCTTCCATCCATCACTGGAGCACCCTGCACGCACAYGCAGAGCTTATTTTCCTCCCTTTCCATCTGCAGGACATGAGGTTTTCTCTTCAGCGCTACAACCCTTTCAACAGACCCACTTGGATTTTGTTTTCCAGATCCTTGCTGGGACATATTTTTTTTTTAAAAAAAGGCTTCCCAGTGCAAAGCTGTTTTCCATGGCACGTCCGCCTGGCTGCCGCGCTGCTTCCCACAATCCCAGCCTTCCTCCCCTGGCCACCTTGTACCAAAACGCAGTGTTTGCTTAAACTCCGAGGCTGCTCCTGCTGCACCGTGACGCCCTTTTAACAGGCGGCAGCCTTCGGAGGAGCCTGCTGCTTCCAGGGGGAAAGGCCAAGAAGTTAATRGCTTTTAAAGACCCCTCCAAGCCTTTTCCATGTGTTGCCTTTGCACAGGAGCCAGCAAAGCAGTAAATGGATTAAAGCATGAACAGCCCCCACCTTGGTCCCTCAAAGYGATGTCCCCTCTTCCTCCAGGCCACGGGAAACTTCCCCGTTTCTTTTCCTGGGTTATGGGTTTCATCTGCAACGCTTTCACCCAACTTTCATCGAGGTGTAGAACACAGCTGGTACCAGAACATCTCCGAATATCTCACCTAGGCACCTGTCTGCTGGGGAAAAGCCCAAGATTCCCTCCATGAGGCCACCAAAACTTGCACCACATCGAGGAATTGAGCAAACGGAGCCACGTTAGATGGGAACACCCAGAAGACCCCATTGTCCCACCACGCTTCCAGGTGGTCCCCATTAATCACCTGGAGAGCGGTGTGGAGAGCGACACATAAGCAGGATCCCATCTGCAACCTCAGCAGCCAGGAGCTTTCCACAGTGGACACAGTGTTTACTCAACAGTTTCTTCCCCCCTCCAAAAAAAATAAAATAAAACTGCTTCAGGCTGTCCTTTGGGACAGGGATAAATCCAAGAGGATATGCTGGCCTATTTATTTTTTGTCCCTCAATAGCCATTGTGCACTTTAAAGAACTAAGAGTGGAAAGCTTTTCAACACTTTGAGGGGCTGGTTGGGTTTTTTTGTCTCCTCTCTGCAAAACAGTACTTGCAATTCCCAATTCCCCGTCTTTTCTTTCTTTTTTTTTTTTTTTTGCTAAAACTTCTGGCCAAAAGTTGCCCTCAGAAATGCGCCTTCAAGCGCCAGCGGAAAGCGCGGCCGGCCGGCGTGCGTGGCCGAGGAAGGAATTTGGCTCGCTCGGCAACATTTCTGGAATGGCCACAGAATGCGTCAGGTCTCGCGTGGCCAACGCCATGGCCCGAGGGTAGCCCAGTTCCCAGGCCTCCACGAGCCACATGCCGACGTCTCCATCCTGGTGGGATCCACAGGGACCAACCTCAGCCCATGGTGACCTGTGCCAGGTTTATCCACCTCTCGTGCTCCCTTGGAGCCTTCCTGATGTAACCCAGTGTCCTTCGGATGGTGGGACCAGCCTGCCCAGGCATGGCTCTCTCCTGGGAYGGGAGCTGCCATAACGACTCCTTGGTCCTCCTCATGCACCCAGAGGAGGACTCTGGTCGTTCCCTGGTAGAGAGGCATTTGCTTTTGTCCCTTTTGGCATTTCAAGACCCACAGAAGCTGCTCCACCTTCTCTAGTTGTTCAGGCTCTTACCCTGGCATGGCGGCAGGAGCAACGGAGCTTCAAGGAGAACAAGGATTTGGTCCAGCTGGAGCTCCCCTACAGCCACACGGCTCCTCCAGATCCTCCGACTGATGCTGGCAAGGGCCAGGGAGAGCCAGGCCCAGGAGGGCTGTTTTTAGGACTCGAGCAGACTGAAATAGCAACTCCACCAACACTGAGCACAAAAGTCAGACAAAACCCAGACCTTTCCCTTAACTTCACAAAGTCTGGACCAGCGTAGAGCTGTATACGATTGAGTGYATACCTATACGCATGCACATACCCAAATCAATTCACCAGAGTCCAAGGCAGGAGGAAGATAAAAGCAAGCAGGACGCATGCAAGCCCTGTGCTGTGGATGCTGGCAAGAAAGCCCCGAGCGTTGCAAAAGAAAACCCCTGCCCATGTGCGTGCGTGGAGCTCTCCGCGGAGGCATCTGCGGCCGCAAGGCAACTAGGACAAAGGAAGAGGCGCTATGTGCAGCCCATCACCATGTTATTTTCGTTAGCGCAAGGGTGGGTAGCAAATTCCACCCTGGGCGGAGGGCGGAAGGAGGAACCAGCCCCGCATTAATCTCTTTTGTTCGCCCGGCTCACAGCATAATCTCCGAGCGTCCGCAGACTGCTCTTCAAAAACAGAAGAGAAAGAGCAAATGCTGCAGCATGCCCACCACATTTCCAGCCCGGAGGCCTTTCTGGTGTTTGTGGATAGCCATGCTCCAGTTTTAATAACCTCTCCTCCACTCCAAGACACTTAGGGAGAAAATAACGTTCCGATTCGGCCGGACGGTCGCTGCTTGGAGCCTCCTTATCCCTTGGCTCGGTTTTGGGGGGTCAATATGAACACGCACAGCATGAGCTGCTCGTAGGCTTCTCCCAGGTTAGCTGCTGGCTGGAGGCACCACTTTTGGTGGGCAGATGTGCTCCATTTGTCAACAAGACTCACGATTGCTCAACAGAAGCCCTTAACCATCTCCTGACAGGGCTGCGT